GTAGAAGCAGAAGCAGAAGTAAAAGTAGAAGTAGAAGTAAAAGTAGAAGTAGAAGTAAAAGTAGAAGTAGAAGTAGAAGTAGAAGTAGAAGTAGAAGTAGAAGTAGAAGTAGAAGTAGAAGTAGAAGTAGAAGTAGAAGTAGAAGTAGAAGTAGAAGTAGAAGTAGAAGTAGAAAGAAGTAGAAAGAAGTAGAAGTAGAAGTAGAAGTAGAAGTAGAAGTAGAAGTAGAAAGAAGTAGAAAGAAGTAGAAGTAGAAGTAGAAGTAGAAGTAGAAGTAGAAGTAGAAAGAAGTAGAAAGAAGTAGAAGTAGAAGTAGAAGTAGAAGTAGAAGTAGAAGTAGAAAGAAGTAGAAAGAAGTAGAAGTAGAAGTAGAAGTAGAAGTAGAAGTAGAAGTAGAAGTAGAAGTAGAAGTAGAAGTAGAAGTAGAAGTAGAAAGAAGTAGAAAGAAGTAGAAGTAGANCTACACACACACATACACACGCACTCGCCCACACACACATGCACACACGTGTGCGCACAACATTTTGCAATGGCAGGCGCTTAATCAACGCTCTGTGAGCTTGCTGTATAATAAATATAAATAAGGCTAAAGCGATTTGTTTGGCTTTAGCTAACGACTCCCAAATGCAATTGGGCATTCATCATACGCACTGTGGTCCAGTTTCAGTTCCAGTGCCAGTTCAGCCAGCAGTCGCATTACGATTTCTTCTGCTATGCGAAATGTATGCGTGAGAATGTGTGTGTGTGTGTGTGTGTGTAACTGCAAATCCCCAAATAAACATTTAAATAATTTACTACGATTCTCTCAAAGCCCCACACTCTCGCATGGCTTCCCTCTCTCACTCTCACTCTCACTCTCACTCTCTCTCTCTCTCTCTCTCTCTCTCTCTCTCTCTCTCTCTCTCTCTCTCTCTCTCTCTCTCTCTCTCTCTTGCTCATTCTCTTTCTCCTCAATTACTGTCAACAATAATACGGCACAGCAGTTGCATATGAAATATTTATGACTGTCTTAGTGTTTCCCTCTCACTCTCACACACACTCTCGCTCCTACTCTGTGTGTTTGTGTCATGTGGCATGCCGTTACATTTCCGACAGCGACAGCGACAACGGGGCACAAGCTCAGTGCATTATGCAACAACAACAATAGCAACAGCAACAACAGCAACAACAGCAGAATTCGCATGCCAGCTACAAACAAACAAAAGCTACAAAATGAAGTATGAGGTCAGCACACAACAGCAACAACAGCAACAACAACAACAACAACAACAGCTTGAGCCGCACAAAAGAAAAGCACATGATTGTCGCTTGAAACTTGAGCCAGAGCAACTAACCTCATGACATCAGCTTTTTGGTTTTCAACTTATTACAATTTCCATATAACCTCCAACGCGCCCCGAGGCGCCTGCAGCTGGACTCAAGCCCCCCACACCCCCTCTCTCTCTCTCTCTCTCTTGCCCATCCGCACAATACAAATGTACAAATGTGCATATGCGAGTGTTATGAAAAGAAAGCAGCAGCAAAACAGCAACAGAGACATTGCTGGCATGGCATGGTTGTTGTTGTTGCTGTTGGGCGGCAAATGCCATGTCCTTCATTTCGCTGTGCCACGTTCCAGCTCCAGTCCCAGCCGCCTCCCGCCTTCCGCCCCCCGCTCGCATTCTTTGCTCGCTGGCAGTTGCCCTTGCGAGGGGCGGGGCTGGCAGCAGCAACTGCTGTGGGGGTCTTTAAGTTTTATGGCACCATTGTGTCAAGATAATAATATGTACGTTTGCTCTCTCACTCGCACACACACACACACTGCTACTCTCTCCCTCTCTCGCCCTGTATACGTGACTGCATTTAAGTGCATAGCTGTGTTGCACACACACACACACACACACACACACACTGACGCGAGCGACACAGACATTGGCACATAAAATAGCATTCCACTTGCATAACATTTGCTAGAGAATTACTCTAAAACTGCGCTGCATTTGCGACAAAACTAACAACACAGGCAACACCCACCAAGACGACCCATCCACAGTCGTACAACAACCAACAACCAACAGCCAACATCAGCTGCTTTTATCAATTTAAATGAATTGCACACGAGTGTGTCATAAATTCAAGCCGCATGACATTTTGCTAATGTTTGTTTGCAAATAAGTTGCCATGGACATTGCTTAATTAAATATACTAACCATACTTTTACATAAAATACATATAAGTACACACACACACACATGTATACATATACATTTGCTTAGCCAAACTTCCACATTGTTTTGTAATTAAAATGAGCAACGAGCGCCGCAGTTTGCCACCAAAATTTTCAATTTTCATTTATATATAATACACATATATTATAAACATGCATATATACATATATGCAAAAGTTTTTAAATTCATACATACATCATTTCTATTTTAGCATCTCTGTTAGATACAAAATAATAAAAATAATAATAATAAAAATTATAATAAAAACTAAAGTAAAAACATAAAAAAAGAAACCAAAAACAGAACCCCGAAAAAAAAGAGAAAATAAATATCATAATAAAAAGGCAGCTGAAAATTATGAGTTACGTTCAACTTGCTGACCAAATGGCAAAGAGAACAAAATGTAGCTTTTTTATATTTTTATGGTCTTTAGCATAAAAAATAAACCAAAATGAAAACTCTAAAGTCACTCGTGCGTGCAAATAAACAAATAAAATAAAAGAAGAACAAATTATAAAAACAACTTAGGATAACAACAGTCGAGCTTAGCCAGCTGCATAATACGCGTTCAAGTTGTGCTAAGAGCGAAGAGCTAAATAAAAATATGAAATAAAATAATAATCAAGCCGAAAGGCCTATCTTGAGTCTAACAAATCTAACTGCTAAATTAATAAATAATAATAATATTTTTCAATAA